CTAGCACTCTGGGAGGCTGAGGTGGGCAGATCACTTGAGGTCAAGTTCGAGATGAGCTTGGCCAACATGGTGAAACTCTATCTCTATTAAAAATACAAAACTTAGCTGGGCATGGTGACTTGAGCCTATAATCCCAGCTACTTGGGAGGCTGAAGTAGGAGAATTGCTTGAACCTGGGAGGCAGAGGCAGCAGTGAGCTGAGATCACGTCACTGCCCTCCAGCCTAGGTGACAAAGCGAAATTCTGTCTCAAAAGCAAGCATCAATGGTAAACGATGATATATATATATATATATATATATATATATATATATATATATACAGCTTCTCAATGAATGTGGTTACTTCAAAGGACATAACTTCTCTTGGCCCCCTGCTTCCCAGTTTGATCATATGCAAAAAGTGTTTATGGCATAATGTTAAGTGAAAATTTCAGTATTGTAGCTGGGAATGGTGGCACACGCCTGTAGTCCTAACTGCTCTGGAGGCTGAGGCAGGAGGATCACTTGAGCCCAGGCAGTAAAGGATGCATCGAGCTATGATTGTGCCACTGTGCTCCAGCCTGGGTGACGGAACAAGACTGTCAAAAAATAGCATATATGCTACCAAATGAAGGAACCTCATAGGCATTAACAAAGTATGTTCTCTGACTACAATTAAGTAAAAAAAAAAAAAAAAAAAAAAAAAAAAATCTCAGAAATTGTATATACCATCATCTACAATATAAACATAAGTATATAAACAATAAGTGGAAGTTAATATGTAAAATAAATATTGCTGTTGTGAGAGGAAGGATTAGTTTTTTTCCTTTTATCAAAATTATTTCAGCCAAGCACAGTCGCCCTCACCTGTAATCCCAGGACTTTGGGAGGCCAAGGTGGGTAGACTGCTTGAGCCCAGGAGTTCGAGACCAGCGTGGGCAACAAAGTGAGACCCAGTCTCTACAAAAAATACAAAAAGTTACACCAGAGGCTGAGGTGGGAGGATCACCCAAGCCCAAGAGGAGGAGGCTGCAGTGAGCCATGATCACACCACTACACGCCAGTCTGGGTGACAGTTAAGAACCTGTCTGTCTAAAGAAAAAAAAGTATGATATTCTTTTTAATAATCTCTTTTTTAAAATCAGCCACTACTAAACCAGGCACAGTGATGTGCAGCTGTAGCCCCAGCTACTGGGAAGGCCGAGGCAAGTGGATGGCTGAGCCCAGAAGTTGGAGAAAAGCCTGGGCAACAAAGAGAGACCTCCATCTCTTAAAAAAAATTAAACAAAAAACTAAAAAACCAGTCATTATTTCATAGTCACTGAATCAGAGAGAGATCTGTTCTACTCAGTAAAAAATAAGACTGTTCTAAAATCTTTCAATTTTCCCTTCTATTTCTAAATGCCAAAAAAAAGGGTAAGACACTTATTTTTGTCTTTTTTTAATTTTTGCTCCTGCCCAAGGAGTAAGGACTCACATTTTTGATGATCCATTTGTTTTTACAAGAATGTTGAGCTTCCAAGTAAAGCCTTTTTGAAATCAGAGCATAAGCTATTAACATCACTATAATTCACCCAGCAATGAATAAATATCAAATACCTTTTAATCATAAACACTATGATTTAAACATATGTGGAGAGAACCTCAAAAATTTCTTTTTAAGACATGCAAAAAAGCAAAAAGAAATCATCTGTTTCTAATGGTTAATCACTACCTTATAAAAAGAATCCCAAAAATTATCAATAGAAATTCACAATATTTCAAGAACAACTAAGGTATTTTCCCTTCTGTAGATTTTCAAATGCCATTGTCTACTGATTGAGGGACTACAACTTGATCCAGCAATCAAGCTGTGTAGACTAACAGAAACAGAATTAAAGCAATTAAGTGAGTTAAATCTCATCACATTTTGGTTTTTGTGTATACCTAATAAAAGTGTTGCAACAGAAGAAGTGGGGTTAAACCAATCAGTTTCTGAAGAGTAGTAATTAGCCTAAGAAACTGAAAGACGGAGTTTCACTCTTGTTGTCCAGGCTGGAGTACAGTGGTGCAATCTCAGCTCACCGAAACCTCCGCTTCCCTGGTTCAAGCATTTCTCCTGCCTCAGGCCCCCCCTCCAAGTAGCTGGAATTACATGCATGAGACACCACACTGAGCTAATTTTGTATTTTTAGTAGAGACAGAGTTTCTCCATGTTGGTCAGGCTGGTCTCAAACTCCTGACCTCAGGTGATCTGCCCCACTCAGCCTCCCAAAGTGCTGGGATTACAGGCATGAGCCACCATGCCTGGCCAAGAAACTGAAAATTAATTAAGTTGCTTTTAGGGCCGGGTGTGGTGGTTCACACCTGCAATCCTACCACTTTGGAAGGCTGAGGTGAGTGGATCATTTGAGGTCAGGAATTTGAGATCAGCCAGGCCAACATGATGAAGCCCCGCCTCTACTAAAAAACACAAAAATTACCTGGGTCTGGTGGCACACGCCTGTAGTTCCAGCTACCCAGGAGGCTAATAAGACAAGACAATCGCTTGAACTCGGTAGGTGGAGGTTGCAGTGAGCCAAGATCATGCCACTGTGCTCCAGCCTGGCAACAGAGCGAGACTGTGTTTCAAACTAACAACAACAACAACAAAAAGAAGTGGCTTTTTTCTCTTTCTTTCTTTTTGGGGGGGGGGGGGGGGGGAGAGATGGTCTTGCTTTCTTGCCAGGGATGGAGTGCAGTGGCCTCACTGCAGCCTTGAACTCCTAGGCTCAAGCAATCCTCCCACCTCAGCCTCCCCAGTAGCTGAAACTGCAGGTCAGTGCCACTACATCCAGCTCTTTTTTTTTTTTCTTGAAAGATGGGGTTTCACCATGATGGCCAGGCTGATTTTGAATTCCTTACCTCAGGTGATCCACCCACCTCAGCCTCCCAAAGTGCTAGGATTAGAGGCGTGAGCCACCGCGCCTGGCTCTTCAGCTCTTTTTTTTTCTGTAGAGATGGGGTTCTATGTTCTGCCCAGGCTGGTCTCCAACTCCAGGCCTCAAGTGAATTTCCAGCCTCCGTCTCCCCAAAGTACTGGGATTACAGGCATGAGGCACCGCGCCAGGCCCAAGTGGCATCATAAACCATCTCTAGGAAATCTAGAGAAAGTACTAATAATGATATTCACGTCTCAGATTCACTGCAAAGATTTTTCCATATAAGCATAATGCAACAACACTAACTTATATACACAATAATCTTCTCCACAGCAATGATTTGTTAGAGATTAGGAAATCTTTTATATATTTAATATAATCATCCAATCCTGGCCGGGCGCGGTGGCTCACGCCTGTAATCCCAGCACTTTGGGAGGCTGAGGCGGGTGGATCATGAGGTCGGAGTTCAAGCCCAGTCTGGCCAATATGGTGAAACCCCGTCTCTACTAAAAATACAAAAAATTAGCTGGGCGTGGTGATATGCGCCTGTAGTTCCAGCTGCTCAGGAGGCTGAGGCAGGAGAACTGCTAGAACCCGGGAGGCGGAGGTTGCAGTGAAACGGGATCGTACCACTGCACTCCAGCCTGGGCGACAGAGCAAGACTCTGTCTCAATAAATAAATAAATAAATAAATAATCCAGTCCTTTATATCTTCAATATGATAACCCAATCACAAAGTTTGAAAATATTATGACTCCTCACCCCAATTTTATTACAAATTTTACTTCACTAACTTTGACTTGATGTTCCATGCCCACAAGCTAGATAACACGTCAAACATCTCGTTATCATTGCAAAGCAAAAAATAAAACCAGCTTTAATAATAAAACGGTAACTAGTATACAACCTGTGGTAGTTAAAACGATGTAAAATTTTACTTAACCAGATCTTACGTTAAATTCTGAGAACATTAACAGTGGAAACAAATTCTGCATCTAACAAATCACAAAATACAGATCCGCTGAGAGAGAGAACTCACATTCTGACCTCCTTCCAAAATGACAAACTAGAACGGCGAAATTACACTCAGGCACATGGAGTACTCTTCTCTCAAATCACTCCACAGAGAACTTCATCATTTGCTCCGCCCTCTAATAACTCATGCAAGAAAAGTTCAGCACCCTCAGAGAGAAACAAGACAGCGAATTCACAGAATGGCTTAGGGCCTTTCCTCCAGGCGGCAAGAGGATCTGCGTGTGCCCTTCGCAGGGGTCCAAAGGGAGAGAACCACCTAGGCCTAGGGTTTCGGGGATACTGACACCCAGAAACAGATTTTCTCTCACAAAGTTTCTGCCGCCATCCCTATCTTATCGGCAGGAGGCCCCGGCGCCATCGTCTCCGTCTTTATCATTTTATTATGGGGAGGTGGGAAACGCCACCCAGGATTCCTCCAGGCCTCCCCTATTCAGCTTGGGGGTTCCCCCTCATTCTTCCCTGAAAGCCTCAGTCCCTCAGGTCCTCCGCAGCACCCCCCGCTTCTGGCAGCCTATCCCCAGGTAAGGGCACAGGCACTGCCGAACCCACCGGCCTCGCGGTGAAGGCGGGAGGGCCCGAACCCGCCAGGGCCATGGCGATGGCTCCGAGGGGCCCAGAAAGGGGAAGGGCAGGCCGAGGACCGGGGCAGAACGACCTGGCCGGGAAGAAAGGGAAAGGGGTGAGGAGATGCGCCGCACCCCAGGGCTGCACAGAGACGGAAGGATGATGAGGGGAGGAGGAGGGCGGTGGCCCGGGCGCGGCCCCCCACTCCCCCCGCCCCGGGTCCCCGGGCCGGCGGGGGCGGACGGACTCGGTCCATTCCCAGGTCTGGGCAGGCGGGGGGTGGGGGATCTCCCTCCACGCTACTAGGAGACCCAGAACGAGGGTGTCGGGGGTGCGGGGGGCTGTCTCCCGCCTGAACCCGGAGACCCCCCAGGGCCGTCGTCGCCTGTTCCTCCGGAGGGAGGACGGCAGCTGCGGGGAAAGCCCGAAGGCGGAATGCGTGAAGGTAAGGGGGAGCCCGGGGCAGACCCGCCGCCCGCTGCGGACCCCACTCCCCACCTGCCGGTAACCGCGTCTCTTACCGGTGATGGCGGTGAACTGCTGAATTAACCCCTTCAGCGCCGAGGACGCCGCGGAGCCCCCGTGGGCAGCCATCTTACCGCCGCCGCCGCCGCCGCCGCCGCCGCCGAACAACAACACAGACACACACGGACCGCCCTCCCCCACCTCGCCGCGCGCCGTGCGCAGGCGCACTGACCGCCCCAAGCCCCGCCCCCGCGGGCTGCGCACGCGCACTTTCCCGCCGGGCCGGCGCGCCGCGCGCTCTCCGGTTGGCTGCCCGGTGGCCGCTGCCTGGTGGCCGCCGCTGCCGGCGCCTCATCTCCGGGCTCCAGGGCCAGCCTCGCAGGCGCGGGGTCCATTCCTGGATTCCGAGGGCGGCTTGGGCCTCCGCAGCCCGCTGGCGTTTCGGCCTCGCAGGCCTGGCTGACGGAGCGGACGGCGGTGACGGGACCGTGCCTTTCGCAGCGCTCCGCACGGTGTCAGGTCCTTGCGGGTCCCGTGGGCGGGAACACACGCCCGGCGTCCTGGCTGCGAGGCGACCCCCCTACCCGCTCCCCAGCCTCTAAAGTAACGGCTCCGCCAGCCGACCGTGGCGAGTGCGACGCCAGAAGTGAAATTCAGAGCCCCTCGCGCCACAGAGCAGGGCCGGACACCGGTAGGTTTTCTCCGCGGTTGCCTCGCTGCTTTGCGTAGACGAGCTGGCCAGTGCGCCTCCCCTCGGGGTCTCAGCCCGACCCTGCACGTGTCCTTTTGTCAAAACAAACGATGCATATGCAGTAAAGAAAACAGAGCCGGGCGCGGTGGCTCACGCCTGTAATCCCAGCACTTTGGGAGGCCGAGGCGGGTGGATCACGAGGTCAAGAGATCGAGACCATCCTGGTCAACACGGTGAAACCCC